GTTCTGTCATACTACATCCTCTTCTCTGCACAATCTGCGATGCCACTGTAGTGGTTTATTCTTGTAAGCACTGCTTGTGGTACCCTTGACCCTGAAAAAATGGATTTTCATTAGCAAAGAATGAAAACTCAAGAGTATTTCTGTCTTTTCAAATATTCTAAAGATTAAACTTCATTGCATCTAAGTTGCTTGCTAATGCAGACTACTCAAATGTACACAGAGGCCATTGGGAGGAGGTCAGAACACTACAAATGTAAGCACTCACGGTTTGGATTTGTTTTTTCTTTTTAACAGAACGAGTTTGCATTAGAAAATAAGTTTTTCTAAAACAGAAGAGTACTTTTATGCTTTGGTGGAAAAAGATGAAATTATCAATTTCCAGAACTCTCATTATTTTGTAATTCCATAAAGATTATCTATATTCAATGCATTATATCAATTTATTTTACTGTTGCATTAAAAGACAGCTTTAAATCTATTTATATGCATAATGTGTAGATACTGTCTTACATACTTATTCAAAATGGCTCAGAATGATTAAAAAAAAGTACATTTGGAATTTCCATTCAGTAAGAATTTAAATCTCGTTAGTGCCACTTGTTTTACAGACCTGCATTCTTTTAAGAACTACAGATTTTAAGATAAATAAGTATATCTTGGAAGGAATCTGAGATACAGATATCCAGCAGTTTTGCATTGGCCATGCTTTTTGATATCCATATACTGAACAGGTCAGATGAAGTACAACTTTATTCAAATGGTCTACAAGTTTTTTTAAGTTTATTTATGAAAAACAAGGTGCTTAGCTACAGATTATTAAAAAAAAAATAAAAACAAATAAAAACCCCAAACAAAACAAAACAACAAACAACCAAACAGTAAGACATCAAAAGTCTATTTCTATTCTAAAGAGCTTTAGTGCTGGTCATATTGGAACTGCTGAAGTTCATCAAGTTTCAGGGTTCTATAAATATCTAAAGGAGCAGCGTCTGCAGAAAGCCCCAGTAAAAAACTATATAAAAGAACAGTGGAGAGAAATACATTGAAAAATGTATCAATATTGTATAAACCACTATTTTTAGCTCTGCTATTATTTCAGATTTCTTGTATTACATTTAAAAATAATTCCTGAGATGTCTTGATTCTTATGACACTTATTTAACAAATCTATTCATGAAAACCCTCTTATCTGTTTTGAAATAAATGTTGTTATAATTGTTTTAGATCTAGATGGAGACAAATGACAGACCAGCTGCTGTAATGGAATTTTTAATGAAACTTCCACATTTCTGCCTGATTGAGAATACTACTGTGATCTACAGACAAACTGTTCAAAAAAGATGAAAATTCCTTAGATCTGTCTTTACCTTCTAGGAAGAACTATCCTATTCTGCACAGATCTGTAAATGTTTACATTCTAAAAGTGGTACATGGTCAGTGGTATATGTACTTTGTCTCTTCTGTAAGACAGACGGGTGTCTAAAATGATAAAAGACTTAATAATAGACAATCTATCTCTAAAAATACACTCTAAGCTTAGGGCAGACCTTCTGATCTCATCTGATATTTTATTCTATGTCTCACCCAACTCCAACTCTATTAAATATCCTTACTCACTGGAGTCAAGAAGGCAATCTCTAGATGAAAAAACTGGAGCCTGATCTTCAAAAGAACTCCGCTTTGGGTACCTAACTGTACAAAGAGAAGCTGAACTCCTCAAAACTTTGCTACCAAATTCAGCATGAGCCATTTTCTTTCACACAACCACCTTTAAAATTCTGATCTCCAGCTCTAAACTTTTTTAAAAGATTAAAGCAGAAAAATTAAAACACAAGTACTCAACTGTGAATTGCTTCATCTTCTAATGCTGGTTTAAATATTGATAAAGAAGGGTGTGTAGAAGAAGGGGTGGGGAGTAGAGAAGGGCTGGAAGGTGTTCTTACCTGAACTTCTACAGTTTCCAAACTAAGTTGTGCCAAATAACCAGTAGCACAATTTTAATCAGAAATTAATCAGATACAAAAAAGCCACGCTATTTTTTTAGGAACACACAGTTAAAATCACAGAATAGCAAAGCTCTTACTTCGAGTATTTCTTTTCACTCTAAGTTATTTAGTCTTTTAAAGCACAAAGCCTTTTAACTAAATACTTATACTTCCTTAGTGTTTAGATCTTTTTGCAGTTGCAAAGGCTTTGGTTTTGCACCTCACTTAGTGTTGACCATATAGACTGACTTGCACCACCAGAACCTCATTTCATATCAACCAACATGTTGCTGCATTATCAACATGTAAGCTCTGGTCACAAAAAACACCTACTTGAACACTTAATGCCAACACACTGAAGCCACTTGGTCATCACTGTAACATGGACAGACACTTGGTATAAGCCAGGAAGAGTAACTGATTTTTTGCTATCCTGTATATACGAAAGACAGAACTGCCTCTGACTTCACAAACTATAGACAGAGAAGTTTATGTTCAGGACTAATTCCATGTGTGGTATTTTTGCTTCTTAACTCTGAGAAAAACAATTAATTGGTATCTAATGCTACTGTAGCCATCTATGTTTCTAAAGCCTCTGTCATTCCTGCACACACACTAATTAGCTATTTGCCCACTGTTGGAAACCTTGTTAGGAATATTAGACTAATCTGGCCCCAACAGAGTCAACAGCAAAATACCCATTAATTGGACAGAATCACATCCTCTGTCTCAGGCATGCTCCCAGGCATTCTGTACTAATAATTCATTATTCAACCCTTTCTTTTATTTTCTCTCATGTAAATGTTCACTGCTGTAATTTAAGCTCATCACTTCTTGCAATTTTCAGAGAAGACCTGAAGAAAAATAAACTTTCCTCATCTTTTACACTTTTGAACTCTTACCACAACAGATCTCTTTTGTACAGTCCTATCAACCCCAATTCTATCACCTCTATTTAAAAAAAAAAAAAAAAAAAAAAAGACAAACACAATTTAGGTAAGAAAACATAGCAAGACAAATATATTTAGAAAAAAAAAGTAGATCCTATTTTGGACCTACTATCTTTATGATAATATACAGTAAAACATTTTAACAATGGTCATTTATCATGTTCCTCAAGAGAACCAATAAAATGCAATGAATACACATCCTCTGATGTTGCACAGATACAAAATGTATAGTTTGTTTACAAACTAATTACTGAATGCAAAATGAAGCAACATTTTAAAAAAATATATTGGTAAAGGTCCAAAGTTTACATTTTCTAAAATATTAAGTTCATGTTTTATTTACAGAACAGCTTTCAAACAATTATTGGCATTTTAAGATAACTGCTTAACCTGATGAGTACATGAATAAAATGAAGCTGTAAAAAAAGCCAACCAAACAAAAAAACCCCAATAATCAAAGTTCCATAGAACAGTTCCAAAAGCACTATTTCCAAGTTAGAAAAGCAAGATGTGATCTACCGCACGGCAACTTACCAGAAACTGGTCTAATACTTTCATATGCTATAGGTATCGCAAGTGACCAATGTCAGCCAGCCACATGCCTAAGAGTGCAGGTTTTTGCCCAGTCCAACTTCATAGGAAGCTTTGACAACAGCTGTAGTATTTACAAATTTAAAACAAAGGCTCCATATCCCTTTGGATTACATTACGACTTTTACTGTGTCTTCTTTTGTTGACTACACATGGCAGAATGCAATCCAAAGACCACTTACATTGTTGAACCTGTGAGTTAACAGTTAAATTAGCAGCACCTACCCAGCCTGTCTAGGAAAAAAAAACCAACAAACTAACAACAAAAAAAAACCAACAAAAATCAGGCAATTCTATGTAACAGGTATCAGTGAACACTGATTCTGGGTCAATTAAGACTGAAGTCTCTCACTGAAGTCTCCCTCTTGCTGAAAGCTATTGTGTTGGAAGGCGGGAGTTTTTAAATTCAAACAGGACCTATGAGCTGGTGTGACCAGCCACGACACACATGCCGGGTTGAGCACTGCGGGCAGGCATGCAATAGCCCATGGCTGTGCTGTGCAGCTCCAGAGGTCTGGCAGTGACACCCAGTCACTCACCAGTACAGCTAGTCCTCCTCTGCTGTCAGAAACACTTCTTTACCTTAACTGTGGTGCCAGGTTAGGTGAATAGAAAGCTGCATAATAAAAACTACAGCCTCAGGCTGTATTAGCTTGAACTAATTTCTACTGGGTTCAGGTGAGGAATATGTCTCCTTCTCCATGCTGCACCCTTTTCCGCTTTGTGGCTCTGTCCCATTTCAGGGGATCTGCATAAGAGCGAGCACAGGAACATCCCACAGAGGACATTGGTGAATTGGCCCTTCTGCTTTGCTAGCCAGGACCACTGTGAATAATGCATTTTCTTCAGGAAAGCAAGTATTTCATTAAACTTGATACCTCGATTACAAGAAGAGGATATCTCAGGGAATGGAATAAGAAGCAGTTTCATTTTGACCACTGTCCCCCCTTACACTCTGCTGTACCAACCCCTAGCACCTACATTAGGTGAAAAAAGGAGGAATTAAAAAGCTTAGGGAATAAATGCCTGTTCTCAAAAACTGTAGCTATAACACCTTCACAATTATGAAAATCAAGTATTTCCTTTCCATGTCTGTTATCTTCTGAGATGTCAGCATTTTCAAAGATAACTCACTGATTTCGATGTCTACATCGTACACAGTATTCCATACTGGAGGAAACAAAACATCAGCCAGCGATGATGCCTGGTTTATAGAGAACTTGATCATATGCTCAAATTAGACCAGGTATTAGTGCATTATACTGCTAATGACAGCAAAATATTTCATATTCTAAGAATACCCATCTCTGAAATGTTTTAAAATGCCTAACCAAGCAATGCTATTTGTTACTACGTAGCATTCAAATCCTCTAAAAATATGTTTTCTTGAAAAGATAATTCTCAGTCTAAATGTATACCAACAATAGATTTTGTTCAATTTAATTTCTTATATTATTTCTGATAAAGTTTCTGCTTTAGCTTTTAACTGCAAGCTATAGTTTCTAACTGCTGCTCTGCTTCAGCAGCCATAGCTGCTGCCTGTAACTGTTCCGTTTCACTCTGGATGGAATTGGCTGTCGTAACTTGTTTTCTTTCACTGTGCATATTGTTCTCATGCCTTTTTAGATCAGATGCTTTAGCAAATGCTTTAGTGCAGGAACTGCAGACAAAAGGTTTCTCTCCTCGGTGTCTTCTTTCATGGTCTTTTAGGTGGGACTTGTGCTTGAAAGCTTTATCACACATATGGCATGCAAATGGCCTCTCATTACTGTGAACTCTTTCGTGCTTTTTTAGATCTGGTGCACGAATAAAAGACTTTCCACATACCTCACAACTGTAAGGCTTGTAACCAGTATGTATTTTCAGGTGCTCTTTCAAATGAGCTTGTGTGGTAAAGCCCTTTGTACACATTTCACAAACAAATGGTCTATCAGCAGTGTGTAGCTTTTCATGTTTTCTCAATCGCGCTTCATCAGAAAAGGTCTTACCACAAGCCTGACATACAATGTGTTCCCTGTGACCGTAAAGCAAATACTCAAACTTCATATCTCCAGCTGCTGTGGTCCAACCTGGTGTCTGTTCATCTTTCACTTCACTTATGCCATCATTAAACGTCAAAGCCTGAGGGGTCTGAGATCCCAAGTCTTTTGATTCGGTTGTTTCCATGGGCTCTACTTCTTGGCCATAGCAGTTGACTTTTCGAACCTCTTCACTTCCCAACTCTTTCAGGATTGCCTCTTGCACTCTCAGGGTAGTGGTAGGTGATTTTCCATCTTCCTGACTTGGGGGAGTTCCTTCCACTGTCACATCCGATGGACTGTCGTCATGATCTCCAATTTCTTCCACCTCGTCATCTTGGGTATCATTAGGTTCCCCCATAGGACGGTTTATTTTTAGACAGTACTTGCTCTTGGACTGCGTGTTCTCTTCAGGACTAGATACATCACGTTTTTGAGTGCAGAGTTTATCCAGAAATCGAATACCAAGAATCTGGCCAGAAGACATCATCAAATTTACATCCTCCTTCTTAACAGAAATCTTTGCAGTATACATGTAATTGAGAACTTCCTCAAAAATGTCAGAACGAAGAAAATCTATTTCTATTACTGATGAACTGTCAACTTCCAGTTTTTTGAAAAGCTTTTTGAAGTAGGTACTGCAGGCAGCAAGCACGCATCTGTGTGCTCGGAATTTAACATCTTCAACCACGATAGCTATGTCACAAAATTCTCCTTCCAAACGTTGTTCATTTAATGTTTTCAGGAACACAGTTTTGTGATCATCGTCATTATATTTAATGGTTTCAGACATACTGATGAAAAACTCCTGTAGAATGACAAAAGAAAGTTTTGTAATTTTTATATAGAGTAGTCAAGGACATAAAATCCCAAAAGACAATGTCATTTACACACTAAAAGAATTTCCAAATACTTTTTTTTCCCTCAATATAACCACAAATAGCTTTTCAGATGATAAAAACATTACTCGCAAACTTCTTTTAAAATTGTGAATAAATACAGGTCTTTTTCTAGGTTAGACACTTTACAGTTATTTATAAAGGACATTTTTTTGTATGAATAAATTATCTGTTTCAAATATTTATTGATTCAGTTATCCAAGATTGGAAATTTTCTTTGTGAAGTTGCAATTCCCAACTGCAGCAGAAGTCATTCTTACAGCTAAAGGAATTGCTAAGACTAAAACAAGGTATAATAAATACTCTAAATGTATCAGCATAACAAACAAAATGCGAAATAACAAATATAGGCCTTACCATGAAAAATGCGGGAAATTTTCTGAACAAATGATTATTAAATATCTGACAGATTAACCCTCACAACGGGCCACCTTCAGCCTGAAAGACAGGAAGATAATACCATTTTAAGCAATTATAAAATCTATTCCAAAAATGGTTTTAAATTCTTGTCTTAAAAGACAGCATTTCCAATTATTTAAAATTATACAAAACGTACTGTTAAAATACCCAGTTCTAGAGACAACTGCATAAACTTACCTGAACGTGCTGTGGTCATAAGCCATGTGTTTACTTGCCTCTGGCTACTTCACATCCCCACTACTTACTTTACACTACACCTAAAAGTCTGAAAAAAAACTCTACAAGAATCACCACAGCTAACCCAGTAACGAACCCATCGAGAAGGTAATAAGTCTTCTGCTG